TTGTTTTTTAATTTATCGATTGTGTAGGCTGCCATTGTGAGAATTATGAAATCCAGGAAAGTACTGAAGCACAATTCCCTCATACAAGAGGTAAAACCACCGAGTTGCTAGTCAGTAATGTCAGTGTCATTTATTTCACTTGAGTTAAAAGTATCAGTTAAGCATTAGTCAGTTTGACAACAACCACAGTACTGAGAAAATGGAGTCCCAAGTCATTAAGTTAAATTGCTTGAGAAAAACTTAGGCAACTGTTCAAAAGGCTCATACAATGACGTTACTAGCCTGCGTTGCAGCCAGCCCACCCACTCGTCTAAACCCTTCGTACAGAAGCTTTAGAGCGTCTGCAACGCAGGCAATGACGTTTCCAGACTCATTCATTCCAGAGATTTTAATGTTCTATCAATTTGATTGTTTTTGGTGTTGCGAATGGTTGCGATAACCAAATAGCGTAATACAAAAGATGAAACGACACTGACTAACACCGACACGACAGCACAAAAGCAAACCAACAAACACACCCGCCAATCTTGGGAGACAGTTACTACCGTCGGTTGCATCTAAGCGTGAACACGAGACAAAAAAGACATGTTCTAATTAGGGTGCCAGATATGACGTGTTTTGCCGCTAAACATTTGAAGTTTGACAGTCGTTAAAGCAAACTGTTACGGCAAAGGTAAGTTGATGACAGTTTTTGATGAGCGCTTTTCGCTCATTTCATTTTCCTCAACTTTTACGCATATTCGTCGCTCAGAAACAGCACACTTGCCTCCAGAAATTGCTATTCACGTCTAAAAATTCTTGCGAAGAATATTTTGTAGAGCGAAAACAAATGAAGTCGACATCAGCCGCCTACCCCAGACGTCGAATGTTTGGCGGCAAAACACGTCATGTTTGTACCCAATTTGAGCGTGTTCTTTGCTCACGTGTACACACTTAGATGCAACCGACGGTATTAAGGGACACGCGATGGCGTAGTCACAATCAAGTTAGCCTAACATAACGTATAAACCGTGAACTTATGGTTTTCTCTGTTCTCTCCGGTAATCCTCGAATAATGTTTCAGTAGTGTTGAGTAATTATTGTTATATTTTAACGAAATGTAATTTTGAAAATTCAGTGACGTGTAAAGTAGTACATGTAGATCTTAGAGGCGGCAAAGAAGCTCTGCGCTAATGGTGAGAACGCTGTTTTCTTTCTCATTTTCGAATTTAACCCAACGTTTCTTTCTTTTTCAATCAGGTAATAAGTCAGTCAAGTGCTCGTTTCACTCCCAGCGTTGCCATGATCAAGGTACGATAACTTTTTTTTTTCTTGTCTTGGACAGCACCCTCCAAATAATGGCATTTTGTACTCAAAGTACTTTTACAGGGGGACAAGGCTGGCGCAGTGGTGAGAGCTCTCGCCTCCCACCAATATGGCCCATGTTTTAATCCTGGCGTCGACGCCATGTGTGGTTGGAGTTTGTTGTTGGTTCTCTCTTTCCCATCTCCTTAAAAACCAACATTTGCAAATTCCAATTCAATCTTGAACGCACGGACAAGATTCAAGGAGTTCTCGTGAACGCCTAAGTGCTCCGTGGGTAAACAAATTACAATTAATTACAATTACATTTAAAGTTTAAAGTGCCAATGTGGGAATCCAAGGTGGGAAAGGGAGGCAACTTGAAAACGTTGGCCTGCCCACTTTGCCCTGCCTGTCACTTTGCCCTTCCTGTCAGTTTAAATTATTCAATGATCGTGCACACTCGCCACAAAAAGAATATCGATTTCTCTGCGCTCACGTTCCATCGAGCACTATCCCCCACTTCTTATTACCAGCCAGTTACATTGTGCTTTTGGAAAGTGAAATAAAACAACGTTCATTAATTTGCGAAGAAGCGTCGAAGTGCTTGTTGAAGTATGAAGTGTCGAAGTGCCAGTTGAAAAGTTCGAGTCTTACCCAGGAAATGATGTTTTTGTTAAAATTTGAGGAATTTTAACTTTCTTTCAGAAATGCATCGAGGCACTGATAGACAAACAATACTTGGAAAGACGCGAGGGAACAAAGGATGAGTATACGTACATGGCATGACGGGATAGCAACAAGATGGTGAAAATTGTGTGGAGTTTGAACTGCATTTGGAGATCTCTCCCGGACAATAGTCCACTTTCATGGACAAAGACTACCAAAGTTTGTCCTGGTTTCTACGCAAGAGCATTTCTTCATCTCTAAAGCTGAAAGAACAACACTCTTATTGATAAATTTTTATGTGGTCTAGCAGGACTTTCCCAGCTTCCCAGCTTCCCAGCTTGGCACTGGAGACAAAGCTTGCTATGAGCTTGTCTGGAGTAAAAATTCTGCTTTGAAGCGGTTAGTAGTTTGTTCCTATTCGAAAAGAAACATTTGACATTTGACTTTGTTTGAAATATTGTTTCTTTCAACTGCGACGTGTCGTTCATGATCGAGTTTTTAATTTTCCAATGTACGGTATTTCGTATGAGTTTGTAATAATTAGTAAAATATTCATTTTTATATACTAGCTACTAATTAAAGTGCCTGACTTAGTAAACAGTTACTCAATATGTTGTCACTTGCTACATTTTTTATTAGTCCATAATACATGTAGATATCCAGTTCGAGAGGACAGTATATTTCACAAAAAAGAACGATATCATTTTTCTGTTATTTTGCTACGTTTTATTTAAAAAATAAAATGGCCAAAGCACGTAGTGCACTAGCATGGAACAAGATGGGTATATATTAACACATGCATTAACACACAATAGGGCATGGAAAATTGAGCTTAGACGCGCAAGGAGGGAGGGAATTTCTGGCTTAACTTTGAGCTGCTTACAAACTTGTATACGTTTATGGCTGCCCCCACAAGAACGATATTACGGAACTTAAGCAGCGACGA